TGAAGCATGCCGTGACCTCTGGGGTAACAGGATGCCCTATCTAGGCCACAACTGTCCTTTCTAAGGTTGAAGAAGTTTGTTTGTATTACTAGTTTGCTGAATGCTGTTTATCAGGAATGGCTACTGAATTCTGTCAAACCCTCTTTTTTGAGTCTATTAAGATGATAAAGCTTTTCTTTTTTTAGCTTGTTGATAATTTAGCTTGTTGACCTTGATTTTCAAATGTAAAACTAACTTTACATTCCTGGGATAAAGTCAACTCCATCGTAATGTATTGCCATTTACATATATTATATGTGTTATACATTTTATATATACATGCACACACATATATATCTATGATATATACAGAGGGTGTCAAAAAAAATTTATACACATTTTAAGAGATGTTTGCCATAATCAGAAGTGTCTGGGTGCTGATGGCAACCACTTTGAGCACCTCTTGTAATTGCAGAATTCAAATGTGACTTGTATTCATCTTATTGAGTATTACAATTTTAATACATTTTCTCTTCCTTTCTTAAAATGTGAATACATTTTTTGGCACCCCTGTGTATGCACACACACACATATATCTATGATATATACAGGGGTGCCAAAAAAAAGTATACACATTTTAAGAGTTGTTATCTATGTATTACTTTTTGAAGTTGAATTGAATCATGATAGTAATGTGTAGTAAGATGCTCGCTCAGCTGTGCTTCTGCCATTTTCTTTGACTGCCCTGACTGTCACATGGTGATGCTAGCATTCATTTGATTGATGCCATCTTTTGAGCAAATGTCATACTTAAAATTTGTATGCATTTTTTGGCACTCCTGTATGTATATATATACATATAGATATAGAGAGAGTCAGAGAGTTGGATTCAACTTGCTAAATGTTTGTTTAAAAATATATGTCTATGTTCATAATATCAGTTTATGGCTTTCTTTTCTTTTGTCTTTTTCTAGTTTGGAGATCAGGGAAATGTTGGCCTCACAGAATGAGTTGGGAAATGTCACCGTGTTTTCAAATTTCTGGAAGATTTTATATAGAATTGTTACTATTACTTGCTTAAATTTTTGTCAGAATTTGCCAGTGAAGCCATGTGGGCCTAGAATTTTCTCTGTAGGAATGTTTTAATACATAAATCCAACCTAAAAATAGATTTAGGGTCAGTGAGGTTATCTATGTCTTCTTGAGTGAGCTTTAGTAGTTTGTGTCCTTCAAGAAATGTGTTAGTTTAACTTAAGTGGTCAAATTTACTGATGAAATATTGCATGTAACACTCTCTTATTATCGTTTTAATGTCTGTAGGATCTGTTGTGATGCTTCTTCTCTCATTCCATCTCTCTCTCTCTTTCTCCATATATATATTCCAAATACATATATATTTAATTTGTTTTTTAGAGACAAGGTCTTGCTTTGTCATCTAGGCTGCAGAGCAGTGGTGTGATAATAGCTCACTGCAACCTAGAACTCTTGAGCTCAAGCAATCCTCCCTCCTCATCTTTCCAGGTAGCCAGGACCACAGGTGCACACCATGATTCCTGTTTTTTTTTTTTTTTTGGGGGGGTCAGAGGGTGGGGGGGTCTCACCATATTGCTCAGGCTGTTCTCAAACTCCTGGCCTCAAGCAATCCTCCCACCTTGGCCTCCCCAAGTGCTGGGATTATTGGTGTGTGTCACTGCACCCAGTCTCTATATTTATAATGGATGCCTTTTCTTTCTTTCTTTTTTTTTTCTTGATCAGTATGGCTAGAGGTTTGTAAATTTTATTGCCTTCTTAAAGAACCAGCTTTAGGCTTTATTGATTTTCTTTATTGTTTTTCTGATTATTGTTTCTATTCTACTGCTTATTATAGGTTTAGTTAACTTTTCTTTTATTGTTTCCAGGTGGAAGCTGAGGTATTTGGTTTGAGACTTTCTTCTTTTCTTTTCTCTTTTCCTTTTTTTTTGAGTTAGATTCTCACTCTTGTCACCCAGGCTGGAGTGCAGTTCCACATTCATGGCCACCACAGCCTCGATCTGCAGGGCTCAGGCAATTCTTCCACCTCATCCTTCCAAATAGCTGGAACTACAGGCATGTGCTTACCACGCTCAGCTTATTTTTTTATTTATTGTAGAGACGAGGTCTCACCAAGTTGCCCAGGCTGGTCTTGAACCCCTGGGCTCAGGCCGTCCTCTCACCTCAGCCTCCCAAAATGCTGGGATGACAGGCTTGAGCCACCACGCCTGGCTGACTCTCTTCTTTCCTAACGTAAGCACTTAATGATATCACTTTCCCTCTAACCACTGCTTTAACTCCATCCCACACATTTTTTCATTTTCACTCTGTTCCAATTATTTCCTAATTTCCTTTGAGATTTCTTCTTTGACCTGCAGGTTATTTAGAAGTGTGTTGCATAGTCCGAAGAGGTTTTCTAGCTATCTTTCTGTAACCGATTTCCTTTTTTTTTTATTTTTTTTGGGTTGGAGTCTCTGTCGCCCAGACTGGAGTGCAGTGGCCGCTCCCAGCCACTGCAGCCTTGACCTGCTGGGCTCCGGCAATCCTTCCGCCTCAGCCTTCCAAGTAGCTGGAACTACAGGCGCGTGCTACCATGCCCGGCTAATTTTTTTTTAATTTACTGTGGAGATAAGGTCTTGCCTGCCCAGGCGGGTCTCGAACCCATGGGCTCAGGCAATCCACTCACCTCAGTCTCCCAAAGGTGCGGGATTACAGGCTGAGCCACCGAGCCTGACAGTAACTTATTTCTAATTTAATTCCATGATGGTTCAAGCACCCTCTTTGTATTATTTGAATCTTCTAAAATTTATTGTGGTGTGAGATAAGGTGGGGGATCCCTAGAGGCTGAGCAGGCAGGGCCCTGTTAGTGGAAGGAGAAGTGTGGTTTTAATCATGAATCACTGGCATTTTAGCAGGGCAACTTGATTTGTCTTTTTTTTTTTTTTTTGAGTTGGAGTTTCACTGTGTCACTCAGGCTGGAGTGCAGTGGCATGATCACGGCTCACTGCAGCCTTGATCTCCTGGGCTCAGGTGATCCTTCTGCCTTAGCCTTCTGAGTAGCTGGGATTACAGCCGTGCACCACCACACACCCCCGTTTTTTGTTTTTTGTTTTTGTAGAGATGAAGTCTTGCTTATTTTTACAGATGGGCTCAGGCTGAGCTCAAGCAATCCTCCTGCCTTGGCCTCCCATAGTGCTGGGATGACAGGTGTGAGCCACTGAGCCTGGCCTGAATTGTGTGTGGATGATTTTTCTTTTTCTTTTTTTGAGTCAGAGTCACCCTCTGTGGCCCAGGCTGGAGGGCAGGGGCATGCTCACGGCCACCACAGCCTCGACCTGCTGGGCTCCGGCCACCCTTCCGCCTCAGCCTTCCAAGTAACTGGAACTACAGGCACGCGCTACCACGCCCGGCTAATTTTTTTTTGATTTATCATAGAGATGAGGTCTCGCCAAGTTGCCCGGGCTGGTCTCAAACCCCTGGGCTCAGACAATCCTCTCGCCTCCGCCTCCCAAAGTGTTGGAATGACAGGTGTGAGCCAACACATCTGGCCCGAATAGTGTTTCTTAATGAGCATTGTGGCTATTGTGTGGAGGACAGTGTCAACAGCTGGGCCTAGTCTGGGGGTGAGATGTGACATGATGGTGGTCTGAGCCAGGTTGCAGCCAGAGCTACGAGAAGATGCCATTGATTGACCTGGTAAGCACTTGTGATGCCTGGGACGGGGTGCCTCGGCTTGAGGTTTCCCCAAGTGGGGTCTGCAGAGAAGGGCGTGAGGGTAACTTTGTGACAGGCCTACAGATATCGGGGGCATGGCGGGGTTGAGACAAAGGCCAATAACCCGATGCACTGGAAACAGCCTGGATTGGTAGTCAAAGCCAGGATTCATCTGTGTGACCGTGGGCGTGTCCCTCTACCTCTCTGGGCTTTGTCTTCCTCCTCTCTGAGCTGGGCAGGCAGCCTCCACCATCCCGAAGTTTTAATAGCCTGGGCAGCTGCTAGCGCAGGAAAGTCTTTGTGCAAACCCAGAAAAGGGTTTCCCTCCAGACAAATAACAGAGGGGCGCCCGGCCATGTAAAGCCTAAAATTAAGGCTCAGTATTGCCTGCCTGTCTTGTGAGTTCCCTCCCCTCCTTACAGAGGGGACCAGGGGCAGTTCCTGGTACCCCCTGTGGGGCTCAGCTTCCTTGCCAATCTGCGGAATTATTCGATCAAGCCACTCATGGCCTCTCGCAGAAACTGGGAGTCACTGCCCGTCCCCCCCACCTCAAAGCCGGCCCTGCGTGGTGTGCGGTCATCCTCCTCATGCCGCAAGTATATGTGAGTGACACACTGACGCCCATGTCCTCTGTCACCCAGCTTGTTGTCACGTGTTTGGCCATCGTCCTAACCATAGCACAGCACAGAATGGATAAGTAGGGAGTGGTTAAATCAGCTCCTTTCTTGGGATGAACACAATCCTCATTACGGGAGGTGGCAGGGCTGGTGTTGCTAGTCTGGATTTCAGCCTCCCCCCGCCCCCTGCCACGTGCCTCCTCAGCTGGGTGTCTTGGGGCAGTGCACAACCTGGACAACTGCACCCGGCAGCCGTGTTGGCAGGCTGTTTATCGAACTCTGTCTGCCCTGTGCTGAGATCAGTCAACCCCGATAGCCCGCCCTGGGAGGTGGGTTCTCTGATCATTCCCATTTCACAGATGAGGACTCTGTCCGTGGTGGGGGTGAGACTGGAACCCCAATTTCTGATCAGGGGACTGAGTGAAGGTGTGAAGACGCAAGCCTGGCATCCGGGGAAGGGAGAGGGCCCATCTTGCTGGGGGGAGGTGGGAAATCTGGCCAGGGCGGGGGGAGCAGAACAGCAGACAGCCGACAGCCCGCCGCCCACTCGGCCACGGCCACCCAGCCCCTGCCACGCCAGATTCTTGAGGTCCCCCCAGTCGCCTCCATCCTCTGATTGGGTCAGGGGCAATTCCTTCCTCCAGGGTCTTTGGCTCAAAGGGTCCCACGCAGGCGGAATGTCTAGAACCAGGTGCTTTCTGTGATGACTGCCGCTTGCCGGCTGCCCCGGGCTGCCACGGATCTGGAACAATCCAAAGAGAGCGCGATGAAACGGGGGCACGCCTGGGGCTTGGGGCAGGACTGGGGGCCACGTCTCCTCGGAGTGGATTTCAGCCAGCTGTTACTCCCCTCTGTGTACCCAAGCACAGGACAGCATCTGACACAGAGTAGGTATGCCACAGAGGCAAATTAAACAAAAGGATAAATGAAGTTCCAGCCTCCCCGCTTCCCTCCGGAAGCCCTCAGGACGCCCTGAGATGCCCGCCTTTCTGCATCTCAATTTCCTTGGCAGAGAAATTGGGCAATGGCATGGCTTGGGTGACCGTGGCGATTAAGTAAGATACTGGAGCCGGGCTCGGTGGCTCAGCCTGAAATCCCGCGCCTTGGGAGGCCGAGGTGAGTGGATTGCCTGAGCCCGCGGGTTCGGGACCCGCCTGGGCAACTTGGCGAGACCTCATCTCGACAATAAATCAAAAATCAGCCGGGCGTGGTAGCGCGTGCCTGTAATTCTGGCTACCTGGAAGGCTGAGGCGGAAGGATCGCCGGAGCCCAGCAGGTCGAGGCTGCGGTGGCCGGGAGTGTGCTACTACCCTCCAGCCTGGGCGACAGAGTGAGATTCCGACTCAGAAAAAGAACAAAAACAAAAAAAAAACCCCAGAGCACACAAACACAAAATAAGCGCTCACGGTGATATTATTACCATTCTCATGACCTTGGTTCCCTGCCAACTCTCGCCAGGACACAGTAGCTGTCCACACCCAGCACCTGGCTCAGGCCAGGCCCGGTGCCGGGTGCTTTAACACAATCGTTCACTCACACACCTGAAAACGACTCTGCGCGCTAGGCTGAGGTTTCCTCAGCAGTCATTTTACAGATGAGGAAGTCGAGGCCAGCAGAAGTGATTCTGGCAGTGAGATGCAGCTGGGGTGTGTTCCCTCACCCCGACCCTCTCACAGAACGCACCCGAAGGAGCCCGATCTGTTCCCTGGGGGTCTGAAAGAACTCACTTGTGGAACTGTCTGGCCCTGAAAGTCTTTGTGGAAAGATTTTTACCAGGACAACTGAGTCTGTACCTTCCTGTGTCTGTTTTGGTAAGGGAAGTTGAATGATTTGCCCGGGCAGATGGGGAATTAGTCCCAGGCAATCGGGCCGCCCAGCGTACGTGCTAAAGCATTACATTCTCCCGCCTGGGCAGTGAGACCTCATCTCTACAATAAATCAAAAAGTCAGCTGGCCGTGGTAGCGCGCGCCTGTAATTCCGGCTACTCGGAAGGCTGAGGCGGAAGGATCGCCGGAGCCCAGCGGGTCGAGGCTGCGGGGGCCGGGAGCGGCCACTGCACTCCAGTCTGGGCAACCAAGTGAGACTCTAACTCAAAAAACAAACAAACAAACAAACAAACAAAAAACCATTCTCCTGCCTAAGGGCCAATTGCTTTCTACCTGTGAATTTCTTTTTTGAGTTGGGGTCTTAATCTGTTGTCCAGGCTGAAATGCAGGATCAGGGCTCACCGCAGCCTTGACCTCCTGGACTCAGGCGATCCTTCTACCTCAGCCTTCCAAGTGGCTGGAACCACAGGCACGCGCCACCACGCCTGGCTAATTTTTTTATTTATTGTAGCAATGAGGTCTCACCAAGTTGCCCAGGCTGGTCTCAAACCCGTGGTCTCAGGCATCCTCTCACCTCAGCCTCCCAAAGTGCTGGGATTATAGGTTGAGCCACCGTGCCCGGCCTTGGGCCAATCGCTTTCTACCTGTGACCTTTTTTTGCTTTTTGCTTTTTGAGTTGAGGTCTTACTCCGTTGTCCAGGCTGAAGTGCAGGGGCACGATCAAGGCTCACCGCAGCCACGACCTCCTGGGCTCAGGCGGTCCTTCCCCCTCAGCCTCCCGAGTAGCCGGGACTACAGGCACCCGCCACCACACCCAGTTCAGCTGTTGATTTTTGTGTAGAGATGAGGTCTCACTCTGTTTTCAGGCTGGTCTCGAACACCTGGGCTCAAGCCATCCTCCCGCCTCTGCCTCCCAAAGTGCAGGGAGGACAGACACGAGCCACCGCGCCCAGTCGACCCGTCAGATGTTGGCTAAGTCCCTTCACCTCCCTCAGCCTCAGTTTTTCCACCTGTAAATGGGGACGATAATCGCACCTTTCTGGTAGGGTTATGCAGAGACTCAGTGGCTTCAGAAACGCAAGCCTCGCCGCCCTTGTGCCTCTGCCCCGGGCAGCCCCGCCCACTCCCTCAGTCCCGCCCCCAGGGCCAAGGTCACTCACTGGCTCTCCAGGTCCTGGATGGTGTCGGGGAGCGGAAGGCCCCCGGTCTCTGGGAGCAGCAGCAGAGCAAGCAGGCTGGACGCGATGGGCAAGATGCCGTAGGAGAGAGGGGACAGCAGGGGCAGGGCCGGGCGGGTCATCATGATCAGGGGACCCACCATGGCCCCCAGCCGGCCCAACGACAGCAGAAAGCCGTCCACCGTCATCCTGCGGGCGGAGGGGGCGCAGACCCATGTCCTGGCAGCCACCATGGCAGGAGGACGGTTTGGCTGGGCCCAGCAAGGCCAGGGAAAGTCGGGCTGTGGGAGCTGCCCTCCTCAAGGCCTCCCCAGTGCTGCCTCCTCCACGGAGCCCACCCAGATTTTCCCATCTAGTTTTCTGGTTTTGGAGAAATCTCTGGGGCCAACCTTATTTTTCCTGCTCCTAGGGGTTTTTTTAGAGGCTTTTGATGCTCCTTTTAGGCCATTGAGATTCCAACTCAGGCTTTCCACGTGATAGTCACACAATCAACACATGTTTGTCCAAATAGTATGTTCTAATAATAATAATAATAATAATAATAATAATAAGATAACGGACAAATGAGTGGTGGAGAGAATACCGGGCTAAGGGTCTGGAGAGCGGGAGTCCAGTCCCACCCTTTTGCTGAGTCAGCCTGTCACCTTGAGCCTCAGTTTACCCAACTGGCAAATGTGATGATGAGCTACACTTGAGACCAGATTTTCTGTTTATGTTTTGAGGCACCCCTGGGCCCTGGAGTGACTGGGACGCCCTGGGGCAGGGAAGGAGGGGTGGGAAGTGAGTTGGGGGTCCCTACTGCCACCAGGGCAACCCTGAGCCTCCGTATCAGGGCTCTAAGAAGATGCCGCCTGAATGGATGGCGGACACCCAGGCCTGGACCCTGAGGGCTGCCTGCCTGGCTCTAGACCCTCTTGGGGAGGGGCTGTCTTGGGAGGCCCCCTCCTCTGTCCTCCCCCTGGTCCCCCCCAATCGGGGCCCAGGCACCCCCTCCCGGCGGGCCTGGCCCACCTACTTACCGCAGGGGCGTGGGGACGAGCTCGGCCTTGTAGATGCTGAAGCACATCGTGCTGACCCCAAAGCACCCCTTCGCCAGCACCGCGAAGCCCACGCGCACGGTCTGCAGATCTGGGCAGAGGAAGGCGGGAGTGGGGTCTGCCTGGGGTCCCGGAGGAAGGGCTGGCTCTGAGTGCCGGCTGGGGGCCAGCTGGGGGTGGGGCACAGCGCAGCGGGGGCCCGAGGGTGGGCGCGGCCGGGTCCAGGATGGGCGGCCTGGCCAGCGAGGACGGGGTGCTCGAGGCCCGCCCTGAGGGTCTGGGGTCTCGGGGTGCTTCTGGCTGTGGAGGAGAGCGAGCCCGGGGTGCCCGGGTGTCCAGAGCCTTCTAACCCCACCCCAGCCGGCCTGCGGGGTGGCAGGGTCTGGGCCAGGAGCCGGGGTCCGGTGGCTCTCTGGCTGCGGCCCTGGTCCCAGCTCCCCTTTCCCCGCGATGCCTGGAAGGGTCTTGGAACTGCCCAGTGCCGTCCTGCGGAAAGACTTGGCCGTGGACTTGTCTCCGAGCGGCCGCCCCAGGCCCCGGCTCCTCTGCCTCCTCACGGCTGCCTTCCTCCCGCTAGGCCACCAGGCAGACGATGTGTCCCTGTCCCTCCCACCCAGGACAGCATGTCACAGCCTCGCTCAGAAAGAAAACAGGAGAGGCCTGGTGGCCTCCCAGCCTCCGCACAGTGACTCCTGCCTTCTCAACAGGAGAAGAAACACACTCACAGGGTCGCACACACCCACGCTCACACTCACGCTCACACACCCTCCCTGGTGTCTCCGCTCACAGCCGCAAGCCCCCTCCCAGCCCTTCTGCCTGCCCGCCCCCCTGCAGGCTCCATCCACCCACTTCGAGCCGGCCAGGCCCTGGCCCTGTCACTCCCTGGCTGGGTGCCCTTGGGCGCCTGGCTTCAACTCCCTGGACGTTGGTCCCCTCCTTGGGAAGATGGGTGGGCAGTGGGGCTGGATTCCCGAGACAAAGCCTGGACACGATGCCGCGGTCCCAGCAGAGCCCACGGCCGGCCTCACCTTGTGGCACCAGCACGTTGGCCAGGATGGAGAGGCCGGCCGTGGTCTGGAAGCTGGCCAGGAGAGTGCGGCGGCCCAGGACGCTGAGCAGGAAGGTGGTGGCGCCCCGGCCCAGGAAGTCCACGGCCCCGAACAGGGTCTGGAGGAGGAAGATATCACGGCCCAGGCTCTGCAGGTCCAAGACCAGCCCGTAGTAGGAGAACATCATTGAGAAGCTGCGGGAACAGGCAGCGTGGGTTCCCAACCCAGGGGCTCTCCCGGGTGGGCATGGCCAGCCCGGGGACTCCGCCCACCCTCGTCTGGCCAGACCCCAGGAAGCCCTGCAGAGGTCCAGCCGCCAGGATCAGGCCGGTCCAGGTGACGCCCAAGGCAAGGGCCGAGACGGTCTGGGTTAAGCAGAGACGGGGCAGATTTTAAAAGTGGCCACCACCGCCAGGTGTGGTGACTCATGCCTTTAATCCTAGCACTTTGGGAGGATCGCTTGAGTCCAGGAGCTTGGGACCAGCCTGGGCAACATAGCGAGACCTCATTTCTACCAAAAAAAAAAGAAATGTAGAAATTAGCTGGGTGTGGTGGTGGGGACCCCAAGGCCTCATCTGCTCCTCACGGGGGCCTGGGGTCAGGGCGGCGATGGGTGGGGCCGGTTCCTTGGACTCCCTGGCCATACTGATCAGCCGGGAGACGGTCCTGTCTGGGCTGGGACCACGTCGGCCCTCGGGGGTCTCGGACCAAGCTGGGCTGCCCCTCAGCTCCAGCCTGCCCTCTCTGGCTTTGTTTCTGACAACCGTCGCTCTCTGCCCCAGATCTTGAAAGATGGGCGTCGCCATCGGGTGGGTCTCTGAGGGGATGTCAGGCTGCACGGCCAGACCCCGTTTGGGGCGAACAGTCTGTCCCCAGGGCTCAGGGTTCTGGCCTTCAGCTGGGGAGAGCAGCCATGATTGGTCCCCAGGAGCCAGACAGGCACCCAGAAGGGCCCACGCCCTTCTGGCCTGGGCTAGGCCCCTGTGTGACTGTGTGTCCCCTTCCGGTCCCTTCTCTAATTCAGGGTCTGCTTCTGGCTCGCCCCCACTCACCCTACAAGCTTCTGATGAGCCAAGCTTATAGGGACTACATTTCCATGGTTGGGAGATAGAATCTGACTCCTTGCATGGCTCCAATGTAAAATTATTCTCAGTCACTTTTTTTGTTGAGTCAGGGTCTCATTCTGTCACTCAGGCTGGAGTGCAGTGGCACGATCAGGGCTCATCACCGCCTCTGTTTCCTGGGCTCAAGAGATCCTTCTGTCTCAGTCTCCCAAGTAGCTGGGGCAATAGAGGCATGCCACTACACCCAGCTAATTTTTTGATGTTTTAAAAAATTTTTTGTAGAGATGAGTTCTCGCTACGTTGCCCAGGCTGATCCCAAGCTCCTGGGCTCAAGCGATCCTCCCGCCTCGGCCTCCCAAAGTGCTAGGATTAAAGGCGTGAGTCACCACGCCGGGGCAATGGCCACTTTTAAAATCTGTCCCTGTCTCCGCTTAACCCAGACCGTCTCGGCCCTTGCCTTGGGCGCCACCCGATTGCTTCACCCCATAAACGTCTGACGACACGCCCCACAGCTGCAAGTAAAGTCACAATTCAGGGCTTCACCACTGCAGAGTAAAATCGGAATTCATGCAGACACCGCACGGTGTTTCCTGAAGTTTGTGAATGATGGAGCCCGGATAACAGTCAGGACAAGAAAGCCAGCAAGGTCAGCGGCTTCAAAGCTCTGATTTGAATAACAAAGCATGCAACTGGCCCCAGGGAAGACTGGAGAAGCCTGGAAGGTTTTTTAAAAAATGGCCCCATGCCTGGGGTCCTCGCCCTCCTCCTGATTTATCAGGGGAAAAAAATGAAGCCGTAAAAAAAAAAAGAAAATGACATTTGATCCATCCTTGTTCTTATGTAGCAAATATTTGCCATCATAACCCATGTGTGGTGAGACGTAGCGTCAAATAAACGTTTTCTTAATCTTCAGTTTTGCTTCAAGATAGAAATCTCAATCAAGTCTAATCCTAGGCCAGGCCCGGTGGCTCACGTCTGTCCTCCCAGCACTTTGGGAGGCCGAGGCGGGAGGACGGCTTGAGCCCAGGAGTTCGAGGCCAGCCCGGGCAACATAGCAAGATCCCGTCTCTACACAAAAGCTAAAAGTTAGCCTGGCATGGCGTGCACCTGTAGTCACAGCTACTTGGGAGGCTGAGGTGGGAGGATTGCTTGAGCCCAGGGGTGGAGGCTGTGGTGAGCCACAGTCGTGCTACTGTACTCCAGCCTGGGTGACAGATGGAGACCCTGACTCAAAAAGTCAAAGAAGCCCTGATCCTCACTTTTTCATACTCTCACTCCGACTGAATTTGTTTCAAGGGCCTGGGTCCTGGGTGCCCTTGGGGGCTGAGGCAGGGCATCCCGTCCTGTGTGGGGCCCGGTGGGTGACAGAGCCGTGAGCCAGGAGGTAGCACGGCCTGGGTTCCAATGCCAGCTCCATCCTCTTGGGTAAGTGACTTACCCCTCTGGGCTGCACTTTCGCCATCTGAGAAGTGGGGTCGCAGGGAGGGGTCAGCGAATGCACGTCACCCTCTAGGAGTGCAGCCGTGGCCTTTAGAAATGTGATGTGATTAAAAAAAAATGTGGCCCGTATACACAACGGAATATTACGCAGCCATAAAAAAGAACAAAATCAGCCGGGCTCGGTGGCTCAGCCTATAATCCCACGCTTTGGGAGTGGATTGCCTGAGCCCGCGGGTTTGAGACCCACCTGGGAAGGTGAGGCCTCATCTCTACAATAAATCAAAAAATTAGCCAGGTGTGGTAGCGCGTGCCTGTAGTTCC